AATGAAAGAAAGATTGAATGCTTCTCCGTAATGATGCACGTAGTTCAAAACAAAATGACACAAAATCAGCTTTACAAAGAAACATGCTCTTATCAATTTTCCAATCCACAATCAGGGACGAATACAATATTCATACAATATTCGGGTGGTTGTGACAAGATGTTCCTTTATACCTCGCTGTGAAAGTATGAAACTTTTGCATAGTAATCAGTTTGCAAACGACGACGGCAACCAGGACGTGGTAAGACAAAAGACGTAAGGGGCAAAACGCGATAGTTCAGCTGGAGGATTTTAAAACTTTGTACATTTCTTAGCCGCCTTCGGCAAAACAACAACGTAAAATCGCTATTTCGATGTGCTGAGTTGTAGCGCTGAGAGAGACGATATCTAGCCATTCGCGAAAATTCTTGCTAAAGATATCAATTCGTTGAGGTCTTGATCACTTAAGGTGCTTTTTAATATGACAACGATACAAAACGGAATTGCCAGGACTTCTTACAAATACGTTCAACGACTTATGAGCTATTTTTTTGTTAACAAGGTGGCCTGAGAATATTGATTCTCTTCTATTGTTGGCTAAATCTAAATGGACTAGAAATCGGCTCCGTTTACGTCAACTCAAGCAATAAAGATAAAAGACTATAAATTCAGAAATACCGACGACGTACGGCAACATCTCACTCTGGCGTAATTTGAAGAAAAGGAAACAAGAAAGAAAGAAAAAGTATAGTTGGAAAAAGTGGTATCCAGCACCTTTCGATTTCTTAGTATGTTCTAGAACCAAATTATACTGAATGTTTCATGTAAAGCAATTCTATACAAGAGAATGTACAAAGACTATACGGTTCGCGATTTGGGACAAAGAAATCGTAGATAATTGCTCTGAGTTGAGTGATGGTATCTTGAAAGATGAGTGATTTTTCTTTTTATAGAACGGTCAAATCCAGATTACAGCAGTAGAAGTGATTTAAACGTTTCTTTTATTCTCGCAAGTTATGGAAGACTTGTTTGTGTAATACGTTCTCAAATAACTGATTTTTTTAAGAATTGTGGTGATTAGGACCGTTTAAATGTCGAGACAACGTCTGTAAACACGCATCACGTCTATACATATGAATCAGCAATACTTTTGGAAATTTTAATGAAAGATTTTGAAGCATAACAGTGATATATATTAGTGGTATTTGAGGTCGAGGGACCGTGACGAAAATACAATGAATACATCTACTCCGGTAGCTCTTTGACGAACGAGAACAGAAACAACTCATATAAAACATCCGCAAACTGCTGTTATCGAAAGACTCTTCGGCATTCTTTCAACACCTTTACGCGTTTATGGGGAAATATTTTAGAAAACAACTTTGCACAATAATGCATTTATTTGTTGCTATTTTTTTGCGCTAACTCGGCTGTTACAGACTAAGAGAGAACAAGGATGCGCCTGTATAGTTAATACACTCCATACCTTATCATCTATGTTTCGTACTTCACATTATAATTTAATTAATTCAACCATTCTGCTACATGGAATGCAATTAACTTAATACAAATCTATTCAGGCGCTCGGAATGGTCATGCGCGTGACACTTGTGCTAATAGTCTTGCTTGCTTTGTCAAGTGGAAAACGTCCGAGGAACCGTTTTGATTCCAAAAATAACGATGAGCTATTACGGGACGACAATTTATTCGTGTTTTTCTTGTTGCCATGTTCCCACCAATCACGTAGTTCCTTTTTCTGCCTTTAAAAGCACACGCAACCCACAATTCCCCTATTCGCTCCGACGAAGGGCTAACGCTCGAAATGTCAGCTTTTATAATCGTAACGGTGGCCAATTTACCATTTCAACTTTGTTGATATATTCAAATTATAGTGTCAAATTTTGTCAACATTCAAACAATGAAATGACGTCACATTCGTGAATTTTCATTGCGGCATTGCGGATGTCATTCTACTGAACCGCAATGACTTCCCTTCAAGGAGAAAAAATTTACGATGAAAAGGTCAAGCCGTAATCGAATTCCGTATTGAAAAAAGCTCGCTCTTTTAACTTTAGTTTGCTTTCTTTGCAGATACTCAAGAAGAGTATTTCAGCTGCAGCCGCTGAGTGAAAGGCATGTCTGCCACTTCAGATTATCCGGAGATCGTGCCGAAGAATGCACCTGAGGCTAGAGGAATAGACTTATGTGGTACTAGATCCAGTATCTACATTATCCGTTCTGATGTGGGTGTCTATATGAAGTGCGAAGATATCCACGCTGGAAAAAAAAATCAAGATTCACCGACTAGGCGAGGCCTGTCGATGGGGTGATTACTACTTGGCCACTAATTCTTATTTCTACATCATTAAAGGAGATGAGTATCGCAGAGTCACCGACCTGACTAGCGACGACCGCTCTGTGGTTTACTCCCTCCATCACAACTGTCGCAAAGGAAGCGGCTACTACTCTGCCTTTGGTAAATATTATATCGTGTTTGCCGACAGAGGCACCAACCGGAAAGTAAGTAACATGAACACAGATAAAGACGGTGTGGAGTATAAAATCAGCCAAGCGTTCCAAGATGGCATCTACTTCTGGGGTACCAATAATTATGTCTACTGTTTGAATCAGGCTGAAAAATGGGGTGTAACCTATCACAGAAGCACCAACATGAACTTGAACAAGGATGAGGCCAACTTCAGCGTTCACAAGTCAGTGCTTAATTTTATCCCTGGTGGTATAGCGTACACCCATGGAAAAGTGCTCGGGTCTTGGATGAATATTAAATGTCTGAAAAATGACTCCAACACTGCCATTGAATGGGAAAAAACCATCAAGAAAACCGTTGGATTTGACAGGAGCACAATATCCATCACAAAGTTCGAATGGTCTTCTCAGATGGGGTTAGAAGTCGGATTGATTAAGACCCTCACTAAAGTTCAGTTCAGTCTCAAAGCAAAGTTTGGTGGAAAGGACGTCGACACTGAGCAGTTCAAATGGAGTGACAGCGCTGAAATAGACGAAACCCTTAGGCTGAAAATCCCGCCAAATACCACGCTGTACGTTTGGCAGTTTCAACTGGGGTTTGGACAGAACAAGAACCTCTTCAGCCATGACACTGCGATCACATACGATAAAACACCACCTGAGGAACCATCACAGTACTATTTAAAGTGTGACACAAATGAACCTTATAGTAAAAACTGTGAGTACTAGAATGAACTTTACTCGTAGAATAGTGTATACCACGCTTTGTTGAGAAGTAATCAAGATACTGCTTTAAGTACGAGACAAGTCAACTTTTGTCTATTAGCCAAAGTAGATCAATACTTTGGATAGACGTGAGTGGGTTTTTTGTTTTTTTTAGTTTGTCATCTACTTTAAACAATATAAACTGCGCTTTTTTGAGAAATAACCGATACTGCTTTAAACAAAACGAGCTCTGCTCAGTATGGAGTAGCACTTCGTCCAGGGAGAGTAGAAGAATTCCCAGACTCTTCATGGTCCTTCATGATATGCAAACTGGGATAGGCTCGGGAATTGTGGGCCAATTGACTCAGGGTCTCATTGGCGCTGCGACAAGAACGGAGAAGCCCGAGCTTTTCTGGGACAGTGAGCGAAGTGAGCGCTCAAGAGATACACGAGGATTCGGGAACAATAATGATTCTAACTTAGCTTCCAAACACCTTTATAGAACTCTCAAGTTTGCCTACCTTGGGACCCAAAGACTGTTGTGTTGCGGGTGAAAGGTAGTGGGTATTAGTACTTGGCATTTGAAGCTAATGAGTTGAGTCGGTGCTTGAAAAACTAGAAACAAATGTCCACTGGCGAACCTGTTGCGTAAAAAAATGGCACATAAGCGGAGTGGGATTGGACCCTTTTTTTTAAGGAGTTCCATTCTCTCTTCCTGGAGACTTGAAGTCAACTTCGGTAACTATTGACCATTGGATTTTCTCTGTAGGCGAGCACTTAGCGTCGAATCGAGAAGTGTGTAATCTTTGTAATATTTCTGAATAAAAATGCTTTTAGTGAGTTATTAGAGTATAATGAGATTTCAAAAAGTTCTCTGTGTCAATTGTTTAAAACTTTTTTTTTTCTTTTTGTTGTTCATCTTTTTTTAAACCGCACTTAAGCGAGGAAATTGCTTCGTCATTATTATCAGCATTCAGGGTCGTTTGTCGTGTTTTGAATTTACCAAGTGTAGAAGTAGATCCTGGAGCGATTGACTTAGAACAGCTCTTTGAACTCTAAAAAAAAGTTACTGATTGTATGGATTTCACAAAGTAATCTCCGCTAAACTGTGGAAGTTTCTCCTCGTTTAGTGCGGGCTCTTAACTGCCGGAGAAATAATAATGATAATGATAATAATAATAATAATAATAATAATAATAATAATAATGGTTTATTAACAGATCCACTAGGGGGCTCTTCCCTGTTAAAATACATCAATTACAATTGAAATAAATCAAATTAAGTTATTCACAAATTACGCAATATGCAATTAAAAGTAGAAGTAGGATTAACAGAATAGAAATTACAGTAAAAATAACTAATCACTCTGTACTCTATTACATAAAAAATTCCTTGGAAGTCTTAAAAAGGTTCTGTAATCTTTACGGTTTCTAATAGATTCTGGTAAATTGTTAAACAGCTTCGTCGCGTTATCTTGGAAAGTGCTGTTTTCGGTCGGGACCACTAATCTAATTGAATTTCTTGAGCGCAGTTCGTTGCGGCATTCCTGTTTTATTATTTTAAAATAAACTGGCCAAGTCTCAGTGTTATGCAAAGCTGTAAAGCATGATTTCAGGAGTGGCTGTGGCACGTTTGTAAAGGTTTTATCCAAGGAGATTGCGATGGAGGATGTGGCCGATCTCATGACTTTCACGACAGGGAAAACCAGGCAAAAACGGAAGAGGTTGGACTTAAAAGTTTGGCGAATGAATTGATCAAGAACATCGTTGCTCACCGACTGCCTCAGGTTTGCGGCCTTCACTCTATCCCTGTAATTTGCTTTAATTCATAAACCAATGAAAAAAGTGCTATTTCCGTATACTATCACTAAGTATGTTCATCCACATTACGATACCTAAACTTCATACTCTATTTTGTTTACTCAGGTTTGCCTTTTATACCAGAATGGTAAATGCACCGATCCCGACGAATGTCCTTTCCTTCACATTTGCGTTAACGCATTGACAAATATCTCATGTGAATGCGCGTTATCACACTGCTTCACCGATAGACGAAGCGGGAGTATTCTGAAAAGATATAGTCTTAGCCCGTCTATATGGTTTAAATCAGAGAGACTAATTGAGTTCGTGCGCTGTAATATTATTATACCGATAGAACAAGTAGCTATACCTGCTAAAGGGTCCGACGCTCTCCTATTGTCCCAGAAAGAAATTTTGTCTGCTAGCGGTTGTGTAGTTCCTGATGTACAAGATCACACGAGAAAACTTGCAGCGCTTGCATTAGATGACTCAAGAGCCAGCTGTCAAAATCCGAGTTGTAGCATGTCCGTTTATAGAACTGGAGTGGGGTCTCCTTTCGTTTACCATAACAGTGTATACAGAAGAAGATCTTTAGGGTGTTCATCGACCTTGTATGGCTTAAATAACCACCTCGATTATGGTAGAGAAATATTTCCAAACTCGAATAATGCTGGCCAGAAAAGGGCAGGACCTCCTCAAGCGCATCACTGTCAACAAGAATCACATCTAAGCATGCCTTCGACTGATTCCAAGACTCTAGGTATTTGTCAAACTTTTGCAACAAGTGACGACTTGGACAGGGCTTTGAGAGCAAGTCTATACCCTGACTCTACAAAAAAAGTGGATAGTTCATATCCGGTATGTCACACGACACAAGTCGAGTCAACGGAGTCGGTATTGAACGACAAAAAATCAACTCCAGAGTTAAACGCCTCACTGGGTGATGCACTCATGCGTTCCACGCTAAAAAGTAAAAAGAAACAGATATACAAAAGAAGAAAAAAACAGACAGTGCATTCATCTCAAGGATATCAGAGGTCAGGAGCTAGCGACAAGCGAGAACAAAAACGGTACAGGAAGTATGTTATTTGCTTCAGTTATTAAAGCTCATTAAGTTTAATCCATTGAAAGTGTTTTTTCTTTTCGAAACATCCTTCAAAAGGCACCTCAAAAAGATGAGGCGAGCCCATTATGATAACAACTAAGTAAACCAGCAATGGTCCTTTTGCCTCCAAATATGATCAAATGTGTGGAAAAGAACCCTTAGGTAAACCAGCTCCAAATAGCCCTCCCACCGATCCAATCTG